ACAGTTGTGTCTACAGCCTGGCATTGCGATTCCAAGTGCAATTAAGGTTTAAAGGCCAGATCCTCATCACACTTGCCCTCCCACCAGTCTGGCCTGTGTGCTAGCTCTGGCTGTGTGAAAGATGCACATGAGCCCTGCGAGGCTGACGGGAGCCAGCACCATTCACAACAACACAAGCAAAAAGACAACACAAACAGCAGGGGCTGGGGACTGAGAAGTTCATCTGCTGTCGAGCAGAAGGGCAATTCAGAGCAGATCCACAGATTACTCAGTAACCACTCACACCCTACTCGTTAACTTTGTCACCTATGAGACACTTGGGGTATCCAGGGCAAATTTCACAACTTTGCTGGTTTAGGGTGAGCTTTCCCAGGTAAGTTTATTCATTTCATCACCAGTTATAGCTCACAGTCTCTAATTTGTTAAAGACCATTCCTGCCTTCTCCCTTCCCTCCAACAATAAAACCAGAACACATAGGAGCACTGCCCGTTTCTTTCAGCAGGACTGTAACAAACCCCCTCCCTTGCTGAAAGCTCTCCAGTGGCTGACTCAAGAGAGGGAGAGACTCCATCCACAAAGGGGTGCACAGAGGAGATCTCCTGCGGGTTTACCTCTTGCAGCACTGCACTCTTCTCCAGGTGCTGGAATGGGTTGGAGCCCCCACCTGCAAAACAGAGGGAGTAAAGCTCTTTCCAGGGATAGTGCTATGGGAAAGCAACTTTCTGACCATGCCCATGCTTTAGAAACAGAGTGAGCATTTTGAGATAACTTCCTTCATGAACACCAAGCAACCAGAGCTCCCTCTTCAAAGTCCTATTCATTGCATGTCCTCATAGCAGTTAGGGGAGGCAGAGTAGACAGGACATTCTTTGGTTGCCATCCTCTGCTAGCCATGAACCTGGTAGACTGATCAGCTGTAAAGTAACTGCTCCACTGCTGTCCCCAAAGACCTGTGTGCAGCCCAGGGCTGGGAGCTCGCTGATATTAGAGCATCAGTAAGGCTTAGAAACAAAAGCTCAGCAAGGAGAGGCATCTCTTGCCAGACTGTCAAGTCAGGAGGGCTTTAGCCCTCCCTTATAGACCAACCAGGAAACCACAGGTAAAGTATTGTTGGCTCTATCTCTAATGAGGAGAACAAGAGAATGGACCAGTGAGCCTGGGCCCAGAGTAACTTCCATTGTTCCACTTAACAGAACAAATGCTATTAAATAATTAACCCCCTCACAAATTAAGGATGAGATAATCAGAGGGGAAAGCACTATCACCCTGCATGGTTTCTATTAGCTTGGCTCCTAAGCCTCTCGAGCTGTAGCCTTTCAGAAGCTGGCAGTTATGGATAAGCAGGTTTCAATTAGTACCTATGTTCTGCCTGGCCCTGGGACAAAATGCAGTGATTTCCAGCACTGCTCCAACATTTAACAAGCCTGATCTGCTGGAGAGCAAGGACACAGCTCCTGGGCCCAGCACTGACCTGACCTGGGCCTGAAGCACCCTACACTGGTGCCAGGAGGCTTTGCATGAGTGAAGCTTACACTGGAAGAGAACAAGTCTGCACTCGGGCTTCTTCCCAGATCATAAACTGCCCTCCTCTGGCTCAGGAAAAGTCTGCAAATGCAGCCGGGAGCTGAACAAAGCAGACACTTAGGTGGAGTTGAGGAAAGAAGAAAACAAGGGGAAGGACAAAATCAAGGTCTCTGGTGTGAATATGAGCCAGTTCTAGCAGAAACATGTGAACATGTTCCCAAAACCTGCCCAGCAGCACAGCATTTCCCACAGCCCAGCACGTCTATGATCCCTAAATCGGGCATGAGTAACAGAGCATCACTTCATCATCTGTCATAGCACTGAGGAGCTTGAAATACACTGCACTTCTCGGTCCTCACAAGCACCCTGTGTCAGAGCACTCTTCCATCAGAGGAGGAGGATGCCGGGAAGCAGAGGCTGGGTTCAGTCACCTCGTACCAGGTGATTAACAACAACCTGGAACAGCCACGGACCAAGCAAGGGCCTGGGAGCAATTGTGTGCCCAAAATAACATCTCCAAATGCATTGCTGAGAGCCAGTGAAAGCAGCTCATCCATGGCTACATAAAGAAGACATGGAGAGCAAAGACACAGGAGCCAGTTAAGCAGACATTCACCTCAACAGGAAGCCAGTCCTGTTAACCCTCACGTGGAATAAGCAGGGATACAAGGCCTGTAAATTAGGGGATGACATGCTCCATCTAACACCAAGAATGACAAGCACTCAGGCTGTACGTTTTGGACATACACACGCACAGGAGAAAGGCAAGCACAGCAAATGCTAAGAATCTTCATCTGAGACAGCCGAAATAGGATGAGAAGTAAAACCCAGCATCCCAGACTGGTTTGGGTTGGACCTTACAGCTCCTCCAGTTCCAACCCCCTGCCAACACCTTCCTCTAGAGCAGCTTGCTCAACAAAATGCAACAGCAAATTAAAGCACGGAAGCTGCAGCGGCAGAAGGAGAGCTCTGTGAGCGCTTGGTATGAACAAAATCAACAAGGGTCAGCACCATCAGACAAGGAAGTGCATCTCCTGCCAGCCCTGGGCACAGGCAATGCCAGTACCTTGAAGCGTGTGGCAGGTACAGATGGGTACAGTCCCAAAGGAAAAGCCAAGCACAATTCCCCTCCAACAGCCACCCCACTAAAATCTCCACTTATCAAGACTGACCGAAGGCTCTGGACAAGGAAAGCAATGGCAAAGCATTCGGTGCTCATGCAAATCAACGGCAAGCTCGGTCCCATGGAACAACCAACCACTGGATTCACACCGAACCTGTTTGCTCAGGAGGTACTGCTCTGTCACACAGAACAAGGAGCGCAGACAGCTTCACAGGGAGAGGAAAACAGCACCAGGCACAAGACAGCACTGTCCTGTCTAGCCTCGACTCTGCCTGCATTACACACCCCATAGAACATCAGCCTCTCCTTACTACTCAAGCCCGAAGCTTTGGAAGGTCAAGCAACCTCTCTGTGTGTCTTCACTGCACTCAGCCCTTCAGCTCCAGAAACACAAACCGGATTCTACTCTGCCTCAGCGCCTGGTCTGTGAGCTGGGTAACTGTGAACAGGGCTAGAACACCCCACAAGGAGTCCCGGGCTCCACACTGGGGGACGCAGCAGGTAACCTTGGTGGACTGTGTACTGCGGCTGGCCTAGCCTCCAGCTGTAGCAGTGGGAGCATGGCAGCAGCCCCCCATTGCCATAGAGGTCTCCCCTCGCAGCCCCCCATTGCCACAGGGGCCTCCCCTCGCAGCCCCCATCGCCGCACGGGTCCCCCTCGCAGCCCCCCATCGCTACAGGGGTCTCCCCTCGCAGCCCCCCATCGCCGCACGGGTCTCCCCTCGCAGCCCCCCATCGCCACAGGGGTCTCCCCTCGCAGCCCCCCATCGCCGCACGGGTCTCCCCTCGCAGCCCCCCATTGCCACAGGGGTCTCCCCTCGCAGCCCCCCACTGCCACAGGGGTCTCCCCTCGCAGCCCCCCATTGCCACAGGGGTCTCCCCTCGCAGCCCCCCACTGCCACAGGGGTCTCCCCTCGCAGGCCCCCATTGCCACAGGGGTCTCCACTCGCAGCCCCCCATCGCCGCACGGGTCTCCCCTCGCAGGCCCCCACTGCCGCAGAGGCCTCCCGTCGCAGGCCCCCGTTGCCCCACGGGTCTCCCCGTCCCAGCCCGGCTCCCCCGCGCCCCCTCACCCGACTCCTCGTCCTTCTTGTCGAACTTCTTCAGCATGGTGCTGCCGGTGCTGCCGCCGCCCCCGCCCCGTGGCACCGGTACCGGAGGGGTCGTCACACTGGGACTGGGACGGGACACTGGGATCCCTGGGGGGACGCTGGGCAGGGGAAGGGAAGGACAGCACCAAGGGAGACAATGGGGCCCCAAGAGGCACCCTGGGGCTCAACAGGGGGAGATGGGGCAGTGAGCAGGACACGGGAAGGGGGGATCCTGGCAGGGGCTCAGTGCTCCGGGAGGCAAGGGGGTGCACCGGGGAGAACCCCTCCTGGGCACGGGCATTGGTGCCCTGGAGCGTCCCTGCTGTGACACACCGGTGTTGGCTGCTCCTCCTGTCCCCGCTGCCACCGACACTCACAGACCCTGGGTGCAGCGCTGCCCAGGCACCTCCCATGCCCCAGGGCAGGCAGGAAGGCAAAGGACTCCTCACCCATCCCACCACCTCACCCCAGCCCGCCCCTGTCTGGCACATCCCCTCACCAGCTACCACAACACCGGGTGTGGGGGCACCCCAACTGCTCCCGACCCCTTCCCAAAGCCGGTGCCGGCTCCGAGGCGCGGGGGCTGCACTCACCCTGCAGCGGGTACTCCCCGAAGAGCATGGCCGTATCCCACCGCGTCCCGCAGCCCCGGCCCCGTTCGCACCTCGCTGTACTTTGCACGGGGGCCGCTCCCGCTGCCCTTATCTCCCAGCGGCGGTGAAGACGGTGACGCCGGCAGCACAACACCGTGTCCAGGCCAGGTTGAAGGGGGCTTGGAGCACCCTACTCTAGTGGAAAGTGCCACTGCCCGTGGCAGGGGTTGGAGCTGGAGGAGCTTTAAGGTCCCTTCCAACACAAACCAGTCTGGGACTCCATGACTCCAAAAACCACAAGAAGTCGTGTTTGATGCCACCTTTAATTGTGCACATGCACCAGCTCCAGTGCCAGGGCTCATGGAGGATGTTGTGTGCTGCAGCCACCCAGGGAGAGGCAGGATGTGGAAAACCTGCCCGTCTGGATGTGCCCTTTGGAGACACCCCAGTGCCGGGCGAGCAGGGACCCAGGCACAGGAGCACGGCAGCACCTGGGGCTGGACCCAGATGTGCTCAGCAAAGGCAAACCCGGCTGTACCTGCTCTGGTGGTGCCGAGGTGACAGTCATTAAACCAAGTCCTGCCCGTGGCTGCAGCTTGTGCTGTGGGCACCGGGTCCGTGGGGAGAAGGTGCTGTGCCTGCAGCTCCCTGCAGGAATAGTGATGGCACCCCAATGGCACCCCTCTGTCCATGGCCCCCAGCAGCCCTGCTTCCAGCTCGATCTCTGGCCATGCAGGTCACCTCCTGCGCCCAAGCCGGGCCATCAGCTCGGCATTGGCGGCTGCCTTGGCCTGCAGCTCCTTCTCTCTGGCCAGCTCAAGCAGGGTGCTCAGGACATGAGTGGGGACATCCAGTGACAGAGACACCTTCCTGCCCTTCTTCCTGGGAGCAGGTCTCTTGGCAGCTGGGCTCATCAGCCAGGGCAATGCTTGTCTCTCTGTCTCCTTTAGTGGGCTGGCTTTGTCCGGATGAGCCCCTTCCACAGAGCCATGCTCACCCCTCCTCGTTTTGGGGAGACCCGGCAGCAGCTCTTTAGCACTGATGGTCTCCTGCCGCATCAACTTGGCTCCATCCCCAGCTCCAGATGCCGGTGAGAGCTGCTGGTGACTCAGCCCCTTCCAAGTTCTTGCTGGCGCCCCAAGGACCACCAGGAAGGTGAGCAGCATCCTGCAGCGCAGCAGCACGGGCAGTGCCTGCGGGGAGCACACAGGGGGTGCTGAGCACCACCGACAGCCCCCAGGCAGCCGCCCATGCCCAGCGGTGGAGGTGCCTTCAGTTTTCCACCCTGATTTTGACCTTTCAGCAATGGTGGGGTAGCTCTGGGGAGGCTGAAGGGGACTTGGGAATCAAATGAGCTGGGGGTCCCTGTCCTTCCCTGCAGCCCCGGGCTGTCCCCTCCGTTTCACACCCTGCAGCCCTTTGCCACCAGCAGAAACAGCTCCCCGGGTGGGGAGGAGTGGCTCTATGGCGACCGCGGGTGCTCCCAGCCCTGCCCTGCCCTTTGGCCCGGGAAGGGTGACGTGTGGGGCTGCCCTCCTCCCACAGCTTCCCAGCAGATGCCATCCCCGCGCTCTCTGGGGCAAAAGCCCCCCCCCAGGGGGGACATGAGCCACTTGGCCTGGAACACGCAGTGGGTGGGTGGCAGCAGGGTGACGAGGGCACAGGTCTGTCCGTGAGCCTGAGTGGTGCTGAGCCTCAGCATCTTCCTCCACCCTGTTCCCATCCTGGAACCAGAGGGACCCCGGGGGTGTGCGGGGTGCTGTGCTGTGGGGTGAGGGTCTGGGTGTCGTGCTATGGGTTGGGGGTCAGAGCGGCTGCAGGGGCATTGCCGCACAAATCCTACCCTATGGCAACTTCCCCCTAACCCTAACCCTGAATCCCCTGGAATTTGAGGGTTGGAACTAGATGATCTTAAGGTCCTTTCCAACCCTGACTATTCTAGGAGTCTAGGATTGTAATCAGTCACCTGGAGAGGTTTGACAGCTGAAGGAAGGCAGTAAAATGCATCCAACCTCCTGCACCCCATCTCCAGGGTAAAGCTCTTTGGAAGGTTCTGGAAGGGGTGGCTGGAGCGGATTTGATTCACTGGAAATCAGGTTATTGTCGGAAAAAGTGGAGTAAAGCATCCCCCCCACCACCCCCATTTCCCAGGCCCTCATCCCCCAGAACCCCCCCAAAGGAAGCTGCACCTCACCATTTCCAGTGGGTCCTCGTCCTCTGCTGCTCAGGCAGCTCCCAGGGTGGGTACCACGGTTTGCCCTGCTCCCCACCAAGCCCTGGCTCTTATCCTGCTCCAGCTCCAACCACAAGGGGTGACGGGGACACACCATGGGTACACGGGGGGGTGGAACAGACACAACGTTATTAATACACTTTGCCTAATAGCGGGTGAAATCATCCTGGCTGTGGGTGGGTGGGTGCTCCCTTGCTGCTCCATCAGTGCATTGGGGGGGATTCCGGGAACCTGGAGTGGACCAGGGGTCATTGTTTAACATCTGACTCCATCCAACCGAGCCTTCCTGCTCCTGCCAGCCTCGGGTGAGCCCTTAAGGGAGCAGAAAGCACAGAACCTGTCCCCCTGGCTGGGAGCTGAGGTGCTGGTGGCATTGCCAGCCCCTGCCGTTGTGCCAAACGAGGATCCCGGCTGTCTCCTGGTGATGCCATGGCCCGATGGGGACATACCAGGAGACATCACCTCCCCGCTGTGCCAGCCCTGGAGAGCACAGTGGGTAGCAGGCTGCAGGTGTTAGCCCCACACAGCAGGGTTTACCCCAAAGTCCCCCCCTTAGAGACTGTGGGAGCATGCAGGGGCTCTCGGGCTCGGCAAGCACCTGTGAGGCGAGTTGGGTGCTCAGCCTGGAGTGCTGCCCAGGGCACAGTGTTGGGGGGGCTGGGGTCAGGCCGCTGGGGGTCCTGCCCTCCCCATGGCCACAGGGTGAGCGATCCCAGCCCAGCCTCCAGCGGTGGCAGCAGAAACAGTGCCAGCTCTGTCCCTGTGCCAGGACCTCCCACCCAGCAGCCAGAATTAGCTGCGGGCGCTGATTCATCCCGCAGCACCGCAGCCCCACGTGCCGGCACGTCATGGCCCGGCCGGGGGGTCACGGCCCTATCTGCGTCAGCCGAGCATGTTCCAGGCACAGGGACAGGGCACTGGGGTGCCCAGGGAGCAGGGACCCCAGCCCTGATGAGCATCACCTGCTGCCGGGGGCAGGGAGATGCTCGGTTCAAGAGCAGGTTCCCAGCTCTTACACTGCCCATCCTCAGGGGTTCCCCAGTGTTGACTCCCCTGGGTTAAAGGCCGAGGTGCGAGTGGGAGGGTATTGCAGGGAGAAAGCCTCTGCTCTCCACACAGCTCTTTCTTTGCCAAACCATCGCAGCCACAAAACGGGAACCAGGCCCCGGTTGAGGTTAAGGTGAAATTTATTCAGATGGAGGTGGTTGCGGGGAGGGGAGGAGGGATGGGGGGAGGCAGCGCCTCTCCCAGGGATGTGGGCAGAGAGTGGGGGACATTTGGGGTCTGGGGAGACAGGAAAAGGGATGAGGGTGTTAGATGAGGGGACCCCAACTGTGCCCAGCCCGAGTGCCGCTCCAGGGCCACCAGAGAGGGAGCAGGGGCAAGCACCATCCCATTGGCAGCAAATAACTTAAAAAACACACTGGGAACAGCCCAGGAAACCTCCAGGTGGGAAAGGGGTGAATAAGGGTTGATACAAATTTCACCTTAACAGGCAATAAAACCGATATGAAAGAAAAACCCCATGAGCAGCAAAAAGACAGATTAGAAATAGCACCAGGTTTCTGCCGGGGGTCCCGGCTCTGCAGCAGCCCAGCCCTGGGCAGGGGCAACCGGATGTGCCATGGGACAGCCCAACCTGCAGGATACTCCCTGCAGAATGCTGCCCGTGGGATGATGCCCGTGTTATGCCTGTGGCTGTGCTCCTGCCTCACCGCCAGCATCACCACGGGCACCTGCAGAGAGAGATCCGAGGAGCTGGAGCCGATGTTTGTGACCAGCATCATCCCCCTCAGCTCTGCACCGGCTGAGCCCGCGGCACCCGGTGGGGACGCTGCCGGGGCTGCCGGTGCCAGCGCTGTGCTGGTCCGTGCCGGGCGTACCTGCCCCGGGGCGCTGCCCGCAGCGCAGCTCGCACTCCTCCCGGCTGTCGAAGCGGTTGCTGTTCCCCCCGCAGCCGCTGTAGACGAAGGGCCGGCACTCGGCGCCCCGCTGGCTGTGGTACCAGCGCAGCGTGTAGCGCCGGCAGCCCCCCTCGTCCAGCGGCAGGCTGCAGGGCTCCGCTGTGGGGCAAACAGCAGCAGTGAGGGGGGCAGAGCCGCAGCACCGTGGTGATGGAGGCAGAGGGGTAACCCCCGAAGGCAGGAGACACACACACACACACGCACACACACCCCGCTCTGCTGGGGGCTATGAGAACCCCTCCTGCGACTCGTGATCTGCCACGGGCAGGGACCCCTTCCACTAGAGCAGCTTGCTCCAAGCCCCTGTGTCCAACCTGGCCTTGAACACTGCCAGGGATGGGGCAGCCACAGCTTCTCTGGGCACCCTGTGCCAGCGCCTCAGCACCCTCACAGAGAGGAACTTCTGCCTAAGCAGCTCACCACCCATCACAGCCTGCTCTGAGCCGTCCATCTCCGGGACCTCATCGTACTCCTCCTCCTCCTCCTCTCCGTACTCGCTGTCATACTCGAGGTCATCAGCATCAAGTGTGACTCCTCTGTGCTGCCCTGGGAGACAACAACGGGTGTCAGCAGCCCCCCTCCTGCCCCTGCATCCCTCCTGTGCTGCTCTGCACATGCCTGCACGCACAGAGCACACACGTGCACACCTGCACACACACAGCACACACGTGCACGCCTGCACACACACATTCCTTGCTGCCCTCTCCTTGCCTCCTTCTTTAACCAAAGCCCCCAGGCCAAGCATGGGTGCTGCTGGGTTATCCCTCAGTGCCTGACATGGAGGGCAGGATGTGACATACATGGAGCAGGGCAAAAACGGGATGGGGCCTAAAAGCACAGGAATGACACTCACCCTCCTCTTCCTCAGTGTGTGACAACTTGAGCACAGGGACTGCAGGGACGGGCTGGGTGGGAAAGAGCCCTGTGAGGAGGAAGAACATGGTGCAGGTATCAGGGAGGAGGCAAGGGGAAGTGGGGCGCATCCCCCCTGCTTCCCAGGGGGAAAACAGCCCTTGCTGGTGTAGAGCCCATCAGATGAGGATGGGGATGAGAAAGGGCACAGGGAGGCACACATCCCGATGGGGCCAGGTCTTGTATGTCCTCTGGGCTCTCCATCACCTGCTTGGCCGCGGTCCCTGTCCTGGCGGATGCTCCTTCCTCCTCCCTGGGCAGAGCGGAAGCTGCTCCTGGCCTGAGCTCCCCAGCCTCCTTGGGGAGAAAGCACCCACCTCACCGCAGCCCCTTTGCCTCCATCCCTCCACCCCACTGCTCCAGCCTCCCATCCCCTGCAGCAGCCCTGCCCCTGCAGCCCCCCAGCCCCAGCTCCAGCACCAGGCATGGATGGGCACTGTCCCTGTGGTCCCTTCCTGGTCAGGCAGACCCCAGCAGTGCCCAGACCCCTTTGGCACCATCCTGAGCTTGGGATCCCTGCGGCACCACGCACCATCCCTTCTCCCTGTACATGGTCCCGCGCTGGTGCTGGCCCTGGCTGAAGGGGTTCCATGAGGGTCACAAGGGGGTGACAAGGGTGTTTCAGGGGTCCCAGCTGCCTCCAGCACCCCCAAAAACCGGCGGCACACACGAGTACTGGGACCCTGCTGGTGCCACATGCAAAGGGCAAGGGGTAGGAAGGGGAAGCCACAACCTGAGAGCTCACGGGAGTCCAGGCGCTGCGGAAAGCGGCCACCACAGGCTGCGGGAAACAGGGGGCCGGGGTCAGGGACAGTGGGGCCAGAGCCCAGCCCGGGGCAGGGGCAGTGGGACCAGAGCCCAGCCCGGGGCAGGGGGATGCTCACCGCAGTGCTGGCTCATCTCCTGCCGCACGAAGGCACGGATCTCCTCCTCCTGCCCCGCACGGAGAGGGGCAAAAGACCCAAATCACAGCAAGGATAGTGCAGTTAGAGAGGAAGAGCTCTTCCCCACCCCCAGCAGAGCCCGGAGTGGAGGGAAGCCTCTCACTGGCAGCAGTGGGATGAATCCGGCACCCCGGCTCCCCATCCCATCCTGATGACCTGAGCACCGCGAGCCAGTGCCGGCTCCCTCTTAGCTCTTACCGTCATTCCCGGCTCCCCCTTCTCCCCACGCTGTCCCTGGGTGCCGGGACTGCCCTGGGGACAAGCAGAGGGAGGTGGGAGGCTGGTCCCAGCCGTGGCTGGCCGGGCAGCGCAGGGACCCGCTCACCAACCTGCTGCCCCCTCTCGCCGGGGATGCCGGGCACGCCGCGGGTCCCCGGCACCGACTGCCCGGGGGGACCTCGCTCCCCCTGCAAGGAACACAACTCAGGACCTGCCTGGTGGCTCTGGATCCCCTCTGCTCACCTAGCGCCGTGGATGTGCTGAGTTCCCAGTCCCCGCACCCTGGGACAACTGTGCAGGTGGGGATGGGGATGGGGACAGGGACGGGTCCTCAGGCTCCCACCCCTGGGCAGGGGGGCGCAAGGGGCAGGGACAGAGCTGGGACATGGCTCCTGATGACACCAACCCCTAGCCCACAATGGGGACAAGACCCTCCCCTTCCGACAGTGCCTAGAGGGGAACCAGCCCCCCGCGGTGGTGGGGTCTCACCTTCTGGCCTTGCATGCCCTCAGGACCTCGTGGGCCAACGCTCCCGGGGGGTCCAGGGGGGCCTGGAGCACCATCACTGCCCCGGGGACCAGGGCCACCGATGACACCCGGAGCACCCTGCAGGAGAGCAGGGGTGAGGCTGGTGGAGCTGGAGCCCCCAGCCCCAGAACAGGCACCACGGGCACCCTAAAGCACCAGCGCCTTCTTGCGAAGGGAGGGGATTTGTTGTCACTTCAGTGACAATTCAGAGCAGCACTGAACGCCTCTCCTGAGAGCATCGGGTTCTGAGGTGCTGCTGGGTCCTGGACAAAGCAATGCAGGGCAACGCACACCAGCCTGCTCACCCGCTCTCCCTTCTCCCCCTGGTCTCCTTTGGCTCCCTGCTGCCCGTCAAATCCCCGGTCACCCTGCGAAGAGGAAGGGACAGGCAGCAGGGAAAGGCAGAGGGGACAGGCAGCCGGCAGCTGAAGCGCCAGCCCAGCTTGTCCCGGCACTGCCCCCATGTACATACCTTGGGCCCCATGAGTCCCTCCTTGCCGGGGATGCCGGGCGGTCCGGACAGCCCCAGCTCTCCCTGTGGGTGACAGGGAGGTGTCCATCAGCCACCAGCCGCACGTTCCTCCACCACCCGGTCAGCACAGCACTTACCGGCTCGCCTCTCCTCCCAGGCAGCCCCGAGCGCCCCGGCAGCCCCGGCTCGCCCTGCAGGACAGGGGCAGGACAGGGGCAGGGTGGTCAGTCTTGTGCCCCCATAGTGGGGCCGAGATCTGGTCGCAGCCATCTCCCTGCTCCCAGTGGCTGGCAGAGGGGATCCGAAGGGCTGCAGCCTCTGGGCAGCACCCAGGCTCGGGCAGCACCCTCAGGCACACACTCACCTTCTCGCCCTTGTCCCCATCGAGGCCACAAGCGCCCTTCATGCCCCGGTCACCCTGTGAGGATGAGGGGAGTCAGAGCCATGCCCAAGGGATGTGGGTCCTGTCTGGGGGTGGGCAGAGGCCAACCCACCTTTGGGCCGCGCATGCCCAGGGGTCCCGTGTCCCCCTTGTCCCCACGTGTTCCAGGGATCCCATCACGGCCGGGCTGACCCTGCAGGATTGAACACATGAGGGGTCTGCTCCCTGTCCTGCCATGGGCTGGCACCATGGGCTGCAGTGGCACCGAGATGCGGCTCCTCACCGGCTCACCGGGCTCCCCTGGTGCTCCCACCTCTCCCTGGGGATGGCAAAGGCATTGGTCAGGGCAGGTGAGGGGATGGTGCCCCAGCACCCCCCCCAGCACTCCCCCAGCAACGGGGGGTTCCAGGTCCTCACCTTCTGCCCACCGGGGCCACGGGCCCCTGGGAAGCCAGTGGAGCCCTTCTCGCCTTGCTCCCCTCTTGTCCCCTGCAAGGAGAGACCAGATCAACACAGGGCAGGAGGGAGAGCTCTGGCTATGGCACAGCCCCATGGAGCCACAGGGACCACAAAGACTGGCTCCAGCAGCTCCCCTTGCTGGGGCTCATCGAGCCAGGGTGCCCACAGGCATCACACCCTGGTCCCTGGGTCCAGCAACAGCCCTCCATGGTCCCCAACCCAGTAGCCCCCAGCCCCACACAAGCCCCCCCAGCCCCATACCTTCTCTCCAGGCATTCCTTGCTCCCCTTTGTCCCCCTTGTCCCCTTCTGTGCCCTTCAGGCCACGGTCTCCCTGCAAAGTGGGAAACACAGGGACAGGTCAGAGCATGGGGAGATGCTCAGGTAACGTTGGGATGCAGAAAACAGAACTCCCTGGTCAGGGATGGGGGAGAGATGGAGGCAGGGAGGATGGGGACAGAGAGGATGGGGACAGCTCTTACCGGCTCCCCCTTGCTGCCCCGTGCCCCGGCGGGCCCCTCCACCACCACAGTATCGCCCTGCACAAGGGAATGACAGAGATGGGGTAAGCAGGGGGTCAGCACTGCTGCCCTCCTCCCGCTGCCCCATGCTGGGGACTCACCTTGTCTCCTTTGGGCCCCGGGGCCCCAGCGTCTCCCTGTGAGGAAGGGGAGATGGGGAGATGCTGCAAGGATGCCAGCAGGGAGTGACAGCACCCCTGGGACTGGGGACCCTGACCCCTGGGGTGCATCGTTCACACCCCTGGCTCCCAGAGCCCCTCACCTTGTCCCCACGCTCCCCCCGGTTCCCTGGCAAGCCCTGTGAGAGAGAGAAGACAGAAGAGGAGAGAGAAGGAGTGCTGGAGGCTCGGGGGGGGGGGGGGGGCAGCCGGGGGGGTATTTACCACCGGCCCTCGGTCCCCTTCTGGCCCCGGGCGCCCGTCTTCACCCTGCGAAAAGAAAGGGATGTGAGGAGGGGTCTGCGATGGGGGCACCCAGCACCCCCCAGGGACAGCCTCTGGCTTGCCTGGGGACACGGGGGCTGTGTTGGGGACACGGGGGCTGTGCCTGTACCTACCCGTGGCCCTGGGTCTCCACGCTCTCCTCTGGCCCCAGGCAGCCCGGCCCCCGGCGCACCCTGCCATGGGATGTCAAGAGCTCAGCCCTGCCCTTGCTGCCCCAGCCATGCCGTGTGCCCCCCACGGCACTGGACACCCCACACAGGGTCCCTGCCACCCCCCCCGGGGGCTGGGGGTACAGCAGGCTCCAAGTGCCACCATCCAGAGCGGGCTCAGCATCCCCAGGGTAACTGCATCAGGGACACCCTGTGTAAGGAGCAGCCCTCGTGCTGCAGGACCGTGCCCTGTCCCTACCTTGTCACCTTTCAGGCCAGCAGCCCCCTGGATGCCCTAGAGGAGAGGAGAGGAGAGGAGAGGGGTGAGTGATCCATGTGAGGAAGGCGATGCCAAGCACCCCATGAAGCACTCCGGGCTCCCAACCGGAGCCCAGCAGCCCCAGCCCGGGGTGGGATGTGCCTGGGGGGGGTGCCCACCACCCTGCCCACATCAGCGGGCACCCGGGCACTGCAGCCCCACACTCACGGCCGGCCCCGGGGGCCCTGCAGGTCCCGGTGCTCCGGGGGTGCCGTCTCTCCCGGGAAAGCCGATAAGACCCTGTAGGGAAATGGGTGAAAGGCAGGGACTGCAGTGGGGGGGCAGGGGTGTCCCACTGCCACTGCCCTGGGCTCCAGGGTCACCCACTGTACCCTCTCTCCTGGGGGCCCTGGTGGGCCAGGCTGCCCACTGTCCCCTCTGAGCCCCGGCTGTCCTGGTGTCCCAGCGATGCCAGCTAAGCCTGGGGGTCCTGGCAGTCCTGGCAAGCCGATGTCACCCTAGAACAAGGAGGAAAACGATGTGGCCCATGAAGACAGCCCCTCGGGAGCATGCTCCCCCCTTGGCCAGGGCAGCAGCGGGGCGCTGGGGATGTGGTGCCCCAGGTGACAAGGGGACAGGGGTTACCTTCAACCCCGGCGGCCCATCCTGTCCCCGCGGTCCCTGTGCGCCGACCCCTGGTGATCCCTGTATGGGGCACAGAGCGTGGGGCACATCCCCTGGCCTGCAGGTACCGCATGCCGGGGGCACTGTGCCACCCGGAACAGACACCCACCTTCTCCCCTTTGGCTCCAGAGGACCCTTTGGCTCCCTGTGAAGACACGAATGCACCGGTAAGGACTGAGCTGTATATGATGAGGGCACAGGTCCTCTGACAGCACCCACACCCTCCAGCATCCACCCCTGACCCCATGTGCTCCTACTCACATCTTCCCCAGGATCACCCGGCTCCCCGAATCTTCCTGGCTCCCCCTGGCAGCGAGAAAAGAACAGAAAGCAGGAGCAGGAGATGATGCACGGGGCTGTGTCCGGATGCTCCCGCTGTGTCCAGGCAGACCCAGGACCCCCTCCCTGCCACCCCCTAGCAGCACTCACCTTCTCGCCCTTGGGGCCTGGCAAGCCTCGGTCACCCTTGGAGCCCTGCTGGGGCAGAGTGGGGTTGGGGGGGCACAGGGCTGGCCTTCCCCCAGGAGGTGTGTGTGTGGGGTGAGGTTTAATGGGGGGACTGATGGGGCCAACTCACGGGCTCTCCCAGCAGCACACCCTCCAGCAGCGCCGGCTCGCCCTGCAGCAGCACACGTGTGCTCAGGCACACACAGGGACACAGATGCTCAGGCACACACGGGTGCTCAGTCGTGTCAGCATCAGGTACCAGACCCCTGCCCGCCCCAGCCCCAGTGCCTTTGGTAGCACACAAGGGTGGGGGTCTCCCCACCGAGCACCCCAGCTCCTCACCTTCTCCCCTTTGGCACCAGGAGGGCCGGCGATGGCCTGGGCACAGTAAGGAGGACCGGTGAGCAGGGCTCCATGGGGATGCTCCGCTCATCCCGGTGTTCCAGCTCCGCACTCACCTGCCCTGGCGCTCCAGCATCCCCTGGCTCTCCCTTGGGACCAGCGGGACCCGAAGGTCCTGGCACCCCCTGGCACAAGCAACAGAAGCCTCAGGCACAGCCCCCAGGCAGAGCGCAGGGTCCCAGTGGGGCAGGGGCATACACGTACCATCTTCCCGGGCATCCCGGCCTCGCCATCCTTCCCTGGCACACCATCCCGGCCTGGCACTCCTGGCTTCCCACTCTCCCCCTGCAGGCAGCAGGACCGGCTGTGGGGGGCAGCTGGGTATTGGGGTCCTGCAGCCCCAAACAGCCCCACACCTTCCTGAGCACCCCCACAAGTGGCAACCGGGCACGGAGGGGACAACGCACTCACCACTTGTCCCGTCAGCCCAGGGACACCCGGTGGGCCCTGCAAGGGAGATGGGAGCAGAATCAAGTGCGAGCCCACCAGGAACAGCCATGAGACAGGTCAGGGGGCTGTAAATACCTACCCCAGGGCCAGGGGGGCCAGGGGGGCCAGGCAGCCCGATGTTGCCCTGGGGACCAGGCAGGCCCTGCAATGGAAACAGAGGTGTCAGATAGGCTGAAAAGTGCCCCAGGACAGCCAGGACCTCAGCTGGGCCCACCGGAGGTGCACCATGGGATGGATAGGTTTGGGGTTCTGGATGGGGAGGGGGCAAGTGCTCACCCGGATGCCAGAGCCAGGCTCCCCCGGATCACCCTGTAATGACAGCACCAGCATCAGCCCCATCACCCGATCCACAGCCACATCCCTGCCCTGCCACTGGTGATGCCAGCATCAGTGCCGCTGCCGTACCTTGGTGCCAGCTGGGCCTGGGGCTCCCGGTGGGCCGGCGCTACCCTGCAGGGGACAAGAGGATGCTACAGTGGGGCAGCACTTGCTGGTGGCACAGCCCACCCTGACTGATGTCCCCTCTTCGCACAACTGTCCCCTGTGCATGGCACAGGGTGGGTCCTTACCGGAGGTCCTGGGGGTCCTGGGTCTCCTGGGCTGCCCTGAAGGGAGGAAGAGACGGGGGTCACTGCAGGGATGGGTTTTCCCCAGTGGATGCATGGGGTGTCCCCTGGGAGAGGAGACCCAGAGAGTGCCAGCAGCTCTGTGAGCACCCACAGCAAGAGGGGGGAGGACACAGTGCTGTGGGGGTGTCACAGGGACGGGGTGGGGGGGTACAGACACCTACCGGGCGTCCCAGCACGCCAGGGAAGCCTGGCAAACCCTGCAAAGAACCACATCAGAGCCAGGGAGTGAGCAGGAACCCGGCACCCGCAAACAGCCCTGCCTGTCCCCAGGGATGCTCCCCGTTCCCGTCTGCAGTACAGCCTGGGCTCCGTGTAGTGAAGAACTTCCTCAGATCCCATCTCAGTCTCCCCTCGGGCAGGTTAAAGCCATTCCCCTTGGCCTGTCCCTGCAGGCCCTTGTCCAAAGCCCCTCTCCGGGTTTCCTGGAGCCCCTTTAGGCACTGGAGCTGCTCTAAGGTCTCCCCTTAAGGAGCCTTCTCTTCTCCAGGCTGACCCAGCCCAGCTCTCTCAGCCTGGCTCCAGCCCTCTGATCTATGCTCCCACTGGTGCTGGTGACGGCTGGTGTGTGACCACAGGACCTTGCCCCTGCCCCAGCCCACATCCCCTCACCATGTCCCCACTCACCGGTTTCCCCTCTGGACCAGACAGCCCTCTCTCACCCGGGAGACCCTGGAGCAAGAGATGGGCACGGCTCAGTGCCAGGCTGGGGACAGGGTCAGTGCCGGGCTGGGGTCCAAGCAGCACTCACCGGGGCACCATCCCTGCCCTTCTCGCCAGGCTCCCCTCGCTCTCCCCTTGGGCCACCCTCGCCCTGCAGCAGGAAAGGCAAAAGTCACAGGACAGGCAGGGACCATCCTGCCCCCTCCCCGCGGGGTGTCCCCGGCAGTGCCCCCCCGCGGGGCTGTGCTCCATGGGGCTGCCCCATTGGCAGCAGCACACTCGCAACCTCAGACCTTATCTCCTTTGGGTCCCCGCTCGCCCTCGGCTCCTGGCTCGCCCTGTGTGGGGGAGAAGACAGAACCCATCAACCCCCATGGCCCCTTTCCTGTCCTGGGTCACAGTCCCCTCAGCTGCCCCCTCCCTTCTGCCCATCCACGCACCTTCACTCCCTTGGGTCCAATGGGGCCGCGCTCACCCGGGAAGCCCATGAGGCTGCCCTCGGCCACCTCTGCCTGTGGGGGGGACACAGTCAGGGCCAGCACCCAGGGACACCAGCAAGGTCCCCCCCGGCACAGCCCTCCCCAGGTTCCCCTGCCAGGGCACTGTCCATCCCCGGAGCTGCAGCAGCTCCCTGGTGATGGTCCCCAGCAGCACCCATCACTTACCTTTGGCCCGGGGGGGCCCTGGGGGCCAGGCAAGCCATCCCTGCCCTGGAGGGAGAGAAAAATAGGTTGAGCATCAAAGGGACAGCAAGGCACAGGGGAGCAGAGCCACCCTGGTGCGACCACTGCTGGTTGCCCTAGAGCATCCTCCTGTCCCCCAAAGCCCCACAGCACAGCAGGGATGGAGGAGACCGTGTTCCCATCTCACCTGCTCGCCTCGCTCGCCCTTCTCGCCCCGGTCACCCTGGGAAAGGAGCACGGTGGCCGTCACGGGGCTGTCCCCACACCCCAGCCCCTGTCGCATCCCACACCCCCTTCCCCACACACTCACCTTCTCTCCGGGCCGCCCGGCCTCCCCCAGCTCCCCGGCCCGGCCCGGCACCCCAGGGATGCCCGGCTTGCCCGGCTCCCCCGGCTGCCCCGCCGGCCCCTCGGGGCCCCGCTCACCCACAGCGCGGCCCGTGGGGCCCTGCGGGCCGGGGGCACCCGCGTCCCCTTTGTCACCTTTGGGTCCTCGCTCGCCGGGGAAGCCCAGGGAGCCCTGCAAAACACAACACCGTGCTGCCAGAGCCGGCCTGCGCCGGGGGCTCCCAGCCCTTACTGAGCATCCCAGGCTGAGCCGGCTCCATGGCCATGCCCAGCGCCGCTCACCTCCCGACCCGGGGGCCCTCTTTCACCCGGCTCTCCCCGGCTGCCCTTCTGGCCCCGCAGCCGCTCCGACACTGGCAGGAATGAGTCCGAGCTCCCATCATAGGCACCCGTGAGCTCCTTCAGGGATGAGACCTGGGAGGGAGGAGAGAGCCGCCAGTCAGGAGGGGAGAGCAACCCAGCCACAGCAGCCCCATCAACCCCTGCCGATCTCCCACCACCTCCTGCGTCCCTGCCCTGCAGCCCTCGTGCTCACCTTGATGCCGAGCGCTTCCAGGCTGCGTTCCACGTTCTGCAATAAAGACACATTAAAATGAAGCGGGATTTGCTGCTCCCACCACGGGGGCTGCAGAGGGTTCCTGTCCCCTGGCGCTGACAGCCCAGCCCAGCAGGTCCGGGGGACTCACCACTGCAGTGCCGGGGTCTCCACGTGCTCCAGGGCTGCCAGGTCGCCCCTAGGTGTGCAGTGAAAAAGGGAAGATGTGTGTAGTGCAGGAGCTGAGGTGAGCAGGGCTGGTGCTGCCCTCGGTAGGTTTCAGCGTTAACACTGTCGGTGCTATCACTGCCCTGGGGGCTGGCAGCGTGTAGGGCTCGGCGCTGGGTACTCACAGGCTCCCCTCGCAGCCCGGGCTCCCCCGGGTCCCCCTGAAACACAGCAGAGGCATCAGTGGGGCAGAGCCAGCACCGGGGTCCCATCAGGGACTCGTCCCTCTGGCACAGGGTCCCCAGTCCTTTGCCTGGGGGTCCGGAGCGCACCTACCTTGGGTCCGGCCGCCCCTCGGAGCCCCGGTGAGCCCTGGAAGACGCGGAGGGGACGGTGTCACCCAGCACCATGGACAGGGGCAGTGCCCCGCGGAGGACTCCGGTGCTGGGTGGCACCAGGGGCACTACGAACCTGTCCTGGGGGCCCGACCTGCCCCGGGACGCCAGGGAGGCCGGGGGGGCCGAGGGGCCCTGGGACTCCCCTGTCCCCCTGCTCGCCCTTGGCACCGCTGCGGCCCTGCAGAGAGCAGAGGCAGCCGCTGGGTGCTGGTGTGTCCCGGTGCAGCAGCACCCAGCACCCATGACCACACTGCTCTCACCTCTCTGCCAGGGGGTCCTGCGTCACCTTTGTCTCCCTAACCAGGGGGAAAGCAGTTACAGGGATGCTGCCCCATCTGCATGCCCCAAAATGATGCTCTGAATCCAGGCAGGGGGAGCCACCGGGTGTGCAGGGAGCACAGAGGAACCACGCAGGGACCAGCCAGGGCTTGGCTCCTCACCTTTCTCCCATCCTCTCCTGGTGTCCCATCTTCTCCCTGGGGACACAGGCTGCAGTCAGTGCCAGACTTGACCACTGCAGCACAGGGACAGGCACTGGGGGCACAGCTCAGGGCATGGGGGCTCTTGGCCACTAGCCCCATCTGGGGGGATCAGCAGCCCTCAGGACCTCCCAGCAAGCCCAAACGCAAGCCCTGCTCCCCCTACTCACGTTCTTGCCACTGAGGCCAGGTTTGCCGTCCTCGCCGGGTTTGCCCTGGGAGGAAGCAGAGGCAGCAAAAGCCGCCCCCCCCAAGCACCCAGGGTTCCTCAGGCCCCATCAAGGCCCCAGGGTGCAGGGAAGTGGGGGCCGGGCACAGGGTGAGCCCAGCAAAAGGACGCAGTGGGGAGGGCACAGGGCAGGATGTGTCCCCATGGCTTGTACTTACAGGGACGCCCGGTGGTCCCAGGGGTCCCACAGGTCCAGGCAGTCCCTGTTCCCCACGCAGCCCAGGCAGCCCCTGCAGGGAAAGGGGATGGGGAGCATTGGGGGGGGGGTACAGGGGGTAAGCAAATGGTGGCAGGGCACCAATCTGCTCTGGGACAGCAGCACACTGCTGGGGACAGGGACAATCCTGCTGTGCTTCCCCGGACCAGAAAGCATGGAACAGGACATTGGTTCCTTACATCGCCCCATCAGAGGCACAGCCCAAGCCCACCCTCCCCAAAGTACTTACATCCCGGCCGGGGTCCCCCTGCTTCCCAGGGTCTCCCTGCAGACAAGGAGAGGTGAGGACAGGGACACCCCTGACATAAAGCTCCCCGTGAGCATCCCCAGCCCGGAGCAGAGGGTGCCCGGGGGCAGCTCCTCCTGCCCCATCGCCCCCCAGCCCCAGCCCCTGCCCTGCCCCACGCTCACCCGCAGACCAGCAGGACCCGGGGGTCCTGGTTTGCCCTCCAGCCCATTGCGGCCATCCAGCCCCGGCAGGCCACGGTCCCCCTGTAACAGAACAGCACGGCAGGGCTGGAGCCCTGGGGCAGGAAAGGGGTGCTGTGGGGCAGCCCTAGCCTGCAGCCCACTCACCTTCTCTCCTGGCAGGCCTCGGTCCCCGGGGTCACCCTGCGGGTGGGAACAGGAGTGAGCAGCATCCCCCTCAGTGGGAGCCAAGCAGGACATGGACCCCCCTCAGACCCCATGGGGACACTCACCCGAGCACCGGGGGGGCCGCGGGGGCCCTCCACGCCCTGCAAGAGACACACTCAGCAGTGGGGCACAGGGATGGAGTGGGGGGTCCTGGGTGCTACCCACCGACCCCTGCACACCAGGACCCCCCCGCGCTGTGTCCCGGCACCTCCCTCCCCACGGACCCAGCTCCTACCCTCTCTCCCGGCAGCCCCGGGGAGCCAGCGTCGCCACGGGCGCCCTTCGCCCCGTCCTCACCAGGGTCGCCGGCGTCCCCCTGCCAGGGAAGGGCACGGTCAGAGCCTGAGCCCTGCCCCCGGCGCTGCGGCTGTGCCGAGCCGCGATAGAGCCCGTGCGGAGCGGTTTAGGGCGCGGTAACAGCAAAGGTCTCAGGACAGAGGCACGGGCTGAGAGGAGGCTGCCAAGTACAGAGCAGCCCCCGGCAGGGCAGATCGTGGCTGCAGAGGAACGCAACGAGCGGCTCTGCTGGGGCAGGAGCCGGCCGGGACCGCAATGGGCCCCTTAGAGCAGAGCCGGAGCTGCCCGAGCCTGAGCTGGCTCCTAAGAGCAGAACAGCCGGAGCGCGGGGTCCTTCTGCACTACCCCTGAGCCATGAGCGTGGTGGGGGCATCAGCCCTCGTGCCCCTCGGATCCCGTGCGCCCCATCCATGCTCCCATCAGCTCCCCATGGGAGGGGCTGTTTGGAGCAGGGAGGGCTCAGTGCACTGGGATGCCAGAGCACAGGCACAGCCGGAGGGAGGGGGGGGACGACGACGACACACAGCATGGGGCACGGCACCGCCAGCACCCCGGGGGGAGTCCTCATTACCTTCTCACCCTTCTCCATCACTCCTCCGAGCCCCACATCGACCTGTGGGGCAGAGAGAGGCTGTTGGAGCACAGGGGCCAGGCACAAGCCCAGGGGTGGGGGGGTGGAGGGGGTGGGCATAGCTTACGGATCGTCCTGGGGGTCCGGGAAGCCCCTGAAAGGAGAATGGTGACAGGAGGGGGTCAAGGGGAGCTGGTGTGGCCCCGAGGCGGGGCTGGCCCCGTGTTGGGGGCGGTGGCAGTGGCACATGGCCCCACATCACTCACCGGCTCCCCACGGTCACCCTTGCTCCCTGGTGCTCCGGGGCTGCCCTGTGGTAAAGAGGGATGGTGTGAGGGGAAGAGGGAATGGGGATGCGTGGGGTGGAGGGGACCCCTTGGGGTGTGGAGCGGTGGTGCCCATGGGGCAGTGGGCACACACACCCAGTACTCACGTTCCTGCCTTCAGGACCCGGGTCCCCTGAGTCTCCCTTCTCCCCGGGGGGGCCGCGGTAGCCGGGCAGGCCCTGGGTAGGGGGTAGGGGGGGTGTAAGCAGGACCCCCGGTACCACTGACTGCCCTCCAGCCCTGCACTTACCCGCGGGCCCCTGTCTCCGGGTTTGCCGGGCAGCCCTGCTTCACCCTGTGGGGAGAGAGGGGTCAGTGTGGGGTGGGGGGGGGGGTGGGGGGGCTCTGTCCTGGGGTGTCCTCACTTACCGGGGTGCCTTCATCACCCTTCTCTCCACGCTCTCCCTGTGGCACGGGTCAGCAGCACCAGATGGGGATAAAGCACAAGTCACCAGCGTCCCCCTGCTCCCCACCCCCCCACCCCACCCTCCTGCGGGGCCACAGAGCCCCACAGCCCCCTAGCCCCACGGTACCTCCTTGCCACGCTGCCCAGTCGGCCCCGGGGTGCCGGCTCGGCCCGGCTCCCCCTTCTCCCCTGGCTCCCCTGGGTCACCCTAGGCAAGGGGGGAGACAGGAACAAGGGGTCAGGGCAGACTGGGGTGAGCATGGGGGCTGCTGTGGGGAGAAGGGCTCAGCATGGACCCCTCTGCTCCCCAGAACAGAACAGGCTGCAGGGAGAGCCCCTCCAGAGCCCAGTGGAGGGAAGGAGGGAGGGGTGGATGGACAGAGGGGAAATGACTCCTGCAGTGGCGTTACCTTTGGGCCACTCCTGCCCGTGAGGCCAACAATGCCCTGGTGTTGGGGAGGGAGAGCGTGTGTCACCAGGCAGTGGGGCAGAGCTCTGTACCCCACCAGCCACAGTCCCGGATGCACCCAGACTCACCCGATCGCCCTGCTCGCCCTTGGGGCCGGCCGGCCCGGGGATGCTCAGCCCAGGGGCACCCTAGCCATGGAGAGATGCAGTTTGGAGCAATGGCAGGAGCACTGTGAGCCTGGAGGCAGTGCTGAGCCCCCCATCCCCAGGGGTACTCACACGGGTGCCTTTCTCTCCCGCATCGCCCTTGGGGCCGGGAGGTCCTTCCGGTCCTGGGAAGCCTCTATCGCCCTGGAGCAGATGAAACGGCACCATCACCCCCCCCCCAGACCACCGCCCTTCTCCCCACCACTGCATAGCCCGGCCTGGGGACCAGCACGGTGTCCCCTGGGGTGGATGCCCAGCTCTGCAATCCCGCTCCCCAGCCTCAGCCATGCCCGGGGGGGGGCACTGTTACCTTCTCCCCTCCGACACCAGCCACGCTGGGAGCCTGCAGGGGAAGCAGAGGGGACGGTGCTGGGTGCTGCCCGCCGGTCCCTGTGGCGGGGCTGGGTCAAGCAGCGCTGCACCCGCGGGCAGTGTCCCACGTACCGGCTTCCCGGGCGGTCCTGGCTCACCCTGCAGAGACAGAGACCCCCTGAAGCACTGCCCGCCCTACCCACACCCCCCACCCCGGGACCCCATCCTCACCTTCTCCCCCTGTGGCCCAGCAGGTCCCGGAGCTCCCTATGGGAGAGAGGAGACCTCAGGTGCTGGCAGTGCAGGGACACGGCACCGGTACACGGCAGCCCCGGAGGTGCCACATCCACCACGCCATGGCCGCTGTCCCAGCTTACCTCCCTGCCCGCCGGCCCTGGGCGACCTGGGGCTCCCGCCTCGCCCTGCAGCACAGGAGGGAGAGGAGGTGTGAGGGACAGGTTCGCCCCAACACAGCTTCACCCCACAGCACACCTACCTTCTCGCCCTCAGCGCCCGGCGCTCCACGGTCCCCCTGTGGAGCCAAGCAGAGGAGGGTTTCAGGAGCCTTTCTTCTCCACCCCACAGCCTCTGCCGTGCACACTGCCCCCAGAGCACATCCAAGACCACTGGGCTCCCACCATGACCCCCCAGCACAGCCACAAGGACACCAGGACCCACTGATGGTGCCGAACAGTGTGGTCCTGCTCTGGCATGGTCTCACCTTCTCGCCTGTCTCTCCCAGCTCTCCTGGTGCCCCACGGTCCCCCTGGTGCAGGAGGAAGATGGGTCAGGGGCAGCAGGACCCGTGGGGATGGCACAGGTCACTGCACCCAAAGGCAAAGTGAGAGCATCCCTCGAGCCCCTGCATCACTCACCTTCCTGCCCTGCTCCCCTGGCGGTCCCCGGGGACCCTGCAAAGGAGGATGGAGGAGATGTCACCACTGCCATGGCAGAGCACACACACAGGAGCAGGAGCCCCCTGAGGACAGTTCCTGCCCCGTACCCTCTCTCAGGAAACTCACCCGGTCTCCAGGGTCCCCGGGGCGTCCAGGCGGCCCAGGGAAACCTTCGCTGCCATCGCCCTGGGGATCAGGAAAGGGACAGCCGTGCCCGTGAGATGGTCATGGGGAGCAGCGCGGGGTCTGCCCCACCGGAGCATCCCCACCACCCTCTTACCTTCTCTCCCTTCAGGCCAGGGGGCCCAGCAGGTCCCCGGGGCCCAGGGTCCCCAGGCAGCCCCTGCAAGAGAGCCCAGCTCAGCCCCGGCTGCAGCTCAGCCCTGGTGACGCGCAGCCACCGCAGCCCTCTCCCATCCCTGCTGGCCACGGGGCTGAACTCACCGGGGATCCGGGCTCCCCGCGAGGTGCTGCCCCATCCACAAGCCCAGGAGGGCCCTGCAGAGACAGTGATCAGAGCCTGCAGACAGCCCTGGAGGGCTCCGTCCTTCCCTGCATCCAGGGGACTGCAGTGCTCTCCAGCACCAATGGAAGCCCCATCCAGGAGCACACAGGAGCCAGGGAGCTGCAGAGCCACTCACCCTTTCCCCTCGGTCACCTTTCTCCCCCTGCAAGGGCAAAAAGCAAGTAAGGGCACGCCTGGGCTCTTCCCATCCCCTCCTTGAATGGAAGGGATGCGCTGGACAGAGCCCATCATCAGTGGCATCAAAGCACATGCGTGCCACATGACTGTTCCCGCTCTGCCCAGTGCCAGAGCTCATGCATGTGTGTGTGTGCATGGACACGTCTGGTGGGGGCACAGCCCATGGGCAGGACCCGGGGAGCACACAAGGGGAGCAGCTTCACCCCCATCCCACACCTCTCTTGCACAGCACGGGTGGGATTTACCTTCACAAACTCTCCTGGTGGTCCTGGTGACCCTGGGGGTCCCAGCGGACCTGGGGGCCCTGGGTCGCCAAAGGGCCCCCGTGTGCCAGGGCTGCCGGGGGGGCCAGGGCTGCCCTGGGGGACAGAGATGTTCCGTTAGCTGTGGCCGGGGCTGTGGCAGAGACCTCTCAGCATCCCCATCCTCACACGTACCGGCCTGCCCGGCTCCCCTTTCTGGCCTGGCAGCCCCTGCCTTCCGTCCGTGATCACCTGGGGCTCCCCCTGAATGAGGAGGGGAGGCAGAATCAGTGTCCTGCTGTCCCCAGTGCAGGACAGGACCTCAGGGCCAGGAGCCCAGCAGGGAGATGGGGACACCCTGGGGTCAGCAGACACCAAGAGCCAGGAGACGCCAGAGGCCGAGATGCCCCACCGGGACCCTGCAGGGCAGCCCCTGCCCGTCACCTACCGGCTCTCCCTTCTCCCCCTTCAGGCCAGGGAGCCCCATCGGCCCTCGTGTCCCCTGGGAAGGAAGGACAAGAGTGAAGGGGGTACAGGCAGGCAGTGGGACAGGGGAGGGATGGGGCCGTACTCACAGGATCCCCTCGGGGACCAGGGATGCCCTGGAAAACAACAGCTCAGCAGGTGAATGCAGGTCCCTGCCAGCAGTGGAGCAGGGATGGGAGGGGGGCTCCAGCCGAGGCAGGGATGGACAGTCACACTTGGGACACACAGGGACAGCAGTGACCCTGCCAGCTACAGAGACCCCTGGCACAGGGAAAGGGCCAAGCAATGGGGAAAGCCCACGAGGCAGCAGGGGACACAAGGGACACCCGCACTCACCGGCTGGCCGGGTGATCCAGGGCTCCCGGGGCGGCCGGGGCTTCCTGGTGTCCCATCAGCTCCAGGGTATCCCTGTGGGAGAAAGAAGCCAGCATTTGATGCACTCGGGCACTACTGGACACCCCCCAGTGCAGTGCTGGTCCCTGCACCAGTAGCACAGAGCTGTGCCCAGGGACCCTGGCTGAGGCCTCGGGGGTGCTCACCCTGTCCCCCTTCTTGCCCGGCTGCTCCACACTTTGTCCAGGCAGACCTTGCGGCCCCGGGGGTCCTGGAGGTCCTGGCAGCCCGTGGCGGCCCTGGAGGGACAGCAAAGAGGATGGGCTGGGTGCTGGGTGGTGGCCAAGGGATGTGCCTCCTTCACCCCAATGGCAAGGGCTGGGCAGGTCCCTGCCCCAGAGCCTGCCAGCAGGACAAGGGGACATGGGGACCATGTCACTGCCTCCCCCCCGGGAGCTGTCCCCATCAGGATATTACCGGCTGTCCAGGGGGGCCCGGTGGCCCCGTGTGTCCTTGTGGTCCCTGTGGAGACAAAGCCAGTGGTGAGCATTCCCTGCGGGCTGGCACTAGCAGGGTTTGGGGGACACATCACCCCCAGAGTTACAGCTGGGGTGGGGACACGGAGCACTCACTGCCTCGCCACGGTCTCCCTTCTCGCCCTGCAAGGGGACAGAGTGGGGGGGTCAGGAGCTGCATCCCCATGCTCAGCCCCTCATTGTGCTGCTGCCATCAGCAAGCTGGGGGTCCCTGGCCCCCACTGAGCCCCTGTGGCACAGTACAGCATAGTGCAGCACAGCATGGTGTGGGGATGCTCACCTTGGGGCACTGCACGGTGCAGGGCCTTGGCTTCGGCTCCGGCTCCGGCTGACAAGACCAGAGAAGCCTGCGTGAGTCCAGGGCAGGAGAAGCCCCCCGTGGGGCTGCTCCCCGCTCCCCTCCCAGCTCCTTACCCTGGTCGAGATGATGGTGCAGAGGTCATCGGTGAGCTCCCCCTCCAGCTCAGCCGGGGCAACGCCGCCATGGTAGATGTACCGCGGATCCTCCCCGGTCACCATACGCCGGAGCTGCTCCCGGTCTGCTCCCTCCAGTCCCACTGCCAGCACCCGGACCCCTGGCCAAGAGCAGCCTCAGCACCCTGCGGAGCTGCCGTGCACCCTGCGGCACTCATCCATCCATCCTCACCCCCAGCCTTGACATCCCTGGCCGCAGCAATGGCATCGTCCCCGGAGGGGCCGTCAGCCAGGACCACCAGCACGGCCGGCACGCTGGGCCGGCGCCCCGCACCAGGGCTCAGCAGGTAGGTCCTGGCGAAGGTGATGGCTGCCCCTAGGGAGGGAGAAAGAGAAAAGGGCAGTCCGCAGGGTCCCACAGCGCTGCCCGGCTCCCAGAGCCGCCCCTCACCGATGGCATTGCCGCTGGGCTCCTCGTAGCGCATGGTGCGGATCTGCTCCAGCACGACGGACAGGTCACTGGAGCGGTTCAGCAGCAGCCAGGGCAGGCTGCGGTAGCTGTACGTGGCCAGAGCCACCTGCGAGGGCACAGGGAGCAGTGGGCACCACAACCCGCCCGTGTCCCCGGGGAGCCCCCACCACCGCAGCCCCTACCTGGGTGCCGTCCGGGCCCAGGCGCCCCAGGGCAGACACAGTGTTGGAGAGGAGCGTACGGATGGCATCAGCGCCAGAGGAGCTGTCGCGGGTGCCGTGCACCAGGAACACGATGTCACCGCGGGCATCCCTGCACACTGGGGACAGGGAGGGGGTGAAGCGGCTGCTGGAGCAGCCACCAGTGACCAGGTCCCCAGTGACCCCATGGTACCTGTGCGCTCACTGACAGACGTCTCAGCACCGGGCGTGCTGCCCAGCAGCGGGCGTAGGGTGAAGGTGTAGCGCTGGCCCAGGCGCAGCCCCGAGACCTGCTGGGAGCTGGCAGTGCCGGGCAGCGTGCGCCCCGACTCCCTGCCCGCTGCCACCCAGGGGTAGGGTCAGGGGGACAGCGAGACCCACAGGGACACAGCCCAACCCAGGGACACCCGCCCGTCTCACCCGTGGGGGGGGTCCAGGAGAGGATGTAGCCAGAAGCACCAGGGACCGGGCTCCAGGTGAGTGTCACCGAGTCCCTCCGTACCTCTGTCACCTGCAGGCTGGTGACACGGCCCAGGGCAGCTGCCAAGAGAGGAGAAGCGTGTCCCGGCCCCATGGGGTAGCCCCCAGCTGGCTCCCATTCCCCACCCATCACCCTCCCCAGCCCAAGGCACTGCCCAATTCCAAGTCCCCTCTGGGCTCCCCATGCCCTGCACACAGTCCTGTACCAGTAACGCCAGTGATGGTGGCTGGCTCGCTCTCCCGGCCACCAGCCATGCTGGTGATGCTGATGTGGTAGCGCCGTCCTGGCTCCAGCCCCGTGAGGTCGTAGGTGGTGGCGGTGGCTGGGAGCTGCTGGCTGCGCTGGGGCCCCCCTGCGCGGGCACAGAGGGGTGAGGGTGCACATGGGGGGGCCTGGGGGGTGCAGGGGGCTGGAGTCACTCTCACCTTCAGCCAGGCGCCAGACCAGGCGGTACCCAGTGCTGCCAGTGGCCGGCACCCAGGCCAGGTGCAGCCGGTGCTCTGAGGCCTCTGTCACCTGGAAGCTGCTGACGGGGGTCACTGGCGCTGCCTCCGCTGTTGGGCAGAGGAGCAGGGTTAGGGGCAGGGCGCCTGGTGTCACCCCAGGTGCTGCCCCTGACCCAGCACTCACGGGTGGTGACGACAATGGAGACAGGGTTGCCCTCGCGGTTGCCGATGAGCGCTGTCACCTTCACGGTGTAGGAGACGCCTCCCTCCAGGTCGGGGATGTCGAAGGAGCTGATGTGGCCGGGAACGTGGCGGCTGCTCTCCGAGCCCCCTGACAAGGAGAATGGATCAGCCCCCAGCCCACCACCCCCCCAGCCCATCCCCGTCCCCATCCCACGGTACCATCCCTGCGGCTCCACACCACACGGTAAGCCGTGGCTCCTGGCACACCGACCCAGGTGACACGGGCGACGTTGCTCCTGGATGCCTGCACCTCTAGCCGCGACACCGTCCCCACCTGCTCGGGTGCTGTGACACCAAGAGGACCATGTCACCGGGGCTGGCGGCCAGCGGCACCGGCCAGCACTGATGGGCAGGGGGACACCTCACCGGTCCGCGCCGTGGCGGTGACGGGGCTGCCCTCACGCCCATCCACAACGGCAGAGACACCAACGGTGTAGATGACGCCGGGGCGCAGCCCCTCGATGGTGAAGGCGGTGGGGTCGGCGGGGAGGAAGCGGGACTGCTCCACACCTACGGGGGACGGCTGCGATGGGAAGGGCTCTGGCGCCACCGCGCAGCCTCCCGCGGTGCTCGCACTCACCGTCGCTGCCCCGCCAGCTCAGCAGGTAGCCCCCGGCGCCCGGCAGCCCCCGCCAGGTCACCCGGAGCTGCCCGGGACTCGCCTCCATCACCCGCAGCTCCGACACGCTGCCCACCGCCGGGAGCTCTGCACCGCCCCACGGCACCACAGCGTCACCGCGGGGTGCTCAGAGGGACCCTGCGGCCACCCGGCACCCCACGGGGGTAGAGAACAAAGGCATTGGGGGGGGGGGGGGGAATGCAAAGCACTGGGATCCCGGTGCCAAACCCCGGCGGGGACTCACTGCGGCGGACGGTGAGCGTGGCCGCGCTGCCCTCCCTGCTGCCTGCGAGCGCCGAGACGCGCACCAGGTAAGCGATGCCCTCGCGGAGGTCACCCAGCTCAAGCCCCGTCTGGCTGCCGGGGACGCGCCTCGTCCTCTCCGTGCCATCTGCCGGGAGCGCAGTCACAGGCACTCAGCACCCTCCGGCCAGGCGGGGCCCTGGGCGCTGCCTGCACCCTGCCCTGCTCACCCTGCCACAGGCTGACCCGGCCCCGCTCACCCTGGCTGTTGCGCACCACCACTTTGTACTCGGTGGCGCCAGGGACGCCCGTCCAGCCCAGCCGCAGCCACCGGCTCGACTCCTCGAGCACCCGCAGGTCCGACACAGCTCCCACGGGCGCCTCCACGTCTGAAAGGGCACGCGGTGAGGCACGGCTGGAGCACGGCACCAGCATCACCCCAGGACAAGGCTGCAGAGCTGGGTCTCACGGCCAAGGGGTCCCCGGGATGAACAATACCTGGGACATCCCTCCATCCCAATGGACCCAGGGGACCCCCGGCAGTCACCTGTCTGGAACGTGGTGACAGGGGTGGCCACCTCCCTGCCATCGTAGAGCGTGTAGAGGGTGATGCGGTACTCAGTACCCGGCTGCAGCCCCGTCAGCTGGTAGGTGTTGGTATTGCTGGGGAGCGACACCGTCCTGGGGGGCTCCGGTCCTGTGGGGAGGGGGGGTGTCAGTGCAAACTGCTGGCACAAGGGGTCCATGGGGGTGATGAGGCACTCTGAGCCTACCTGTGGCTCTCTTCCACTCCAGACGGTAGCCACGGGCATCACGAGCACTGGTCCAGAGCACCTGGATGGACGTGGGGCCCAGGATGTTGGTCCGCAGCATCTGCTCTGCACCCGGCTCTGCAAGAGGGACCCCATGAGCCAGGCTGCCCCGTGTCACGCTGCCACCAGCCCCGCACACCGCAGCAGCATTGCTGTGGTGCGGTGCTATAGGTATGGTCCCCCCCTCATGCCACGGCAAGGGCAACAGGGTAGGAACGGGGTGGCAGCCCCATACCCAGCACCTACCCGTCCTCTGCCGCATGGTGGCTGCTGGTCCCTCCAGCTGCCCGAAGAGCGGGGCCACGGCCACCACGTAGTCAGTGTTGGGCTGCAGCCCCCCCAGCGCATGCGACGTCCGCCCAGCGTCCAGGTCCACCCTGTGCCTGTCCTGCCCTGCAGGAGCCGGCAAAGCCATCCCTTGGGGTGCCACTGCCCCCTCCTGTCCCCTTCCCTGCGGCCACCAGCACAAGGGGCACAAGGGATGGGCACCTACCTGTGAGGGTGGCCCAGGAGAGCCGGTAGCCGGTGGCCCCGCTGACAGGCTGCCAGGCCAGCAGCATGCTCTGCGCTGACACATTGTGAACAGCCAAGTGCTGCACAGCTACCGGGTGCCCTGCGGTGAGAGAAGCCCCTGGGGTTCCCCATGGGAAAGGGGGGCACGGAACAGTGGCAAGCACCAAGACACCCGCCTGCTCTGGGGATGGGAACCCCTCTGGCCTCTGTCCATGGATGCTGCACTGCACCCAGATCACCCAGGGCAGCCTGCACCCGGGTGGCTTCTTCAAAGCAACCCGGCTCCAGAGAACGGGAGCTCCAACACCTTCCTCCTAATGCATTAAATACTTTCTGCTGGTTAAAGCAGCCTGGGGCAGCTGAGGAATTGGTTTGCCAGTTCTGAGGCTTGCAAAGGTGTTCCCTCGGGGGCTCGCCCCCGCGCCTGCCCGGTGATGCTGCCGCCACCCTCCTCCCTGCGGCAACCACGTTTCCCTCCTTCAGAGCCAGTGCTTGAATTCACCAAAACTGCACTTTTCCAGCCGACATTTTTACATCACGTGGGGGAAGTTCCAGTGGAAACATTCCCAGGAGGCGGCGAACGGGCTCGGGAGTGCCCCCTGGGAGCACCTTCTGGGGCTCAGAGCATCACCATCACCTTGTAGTCATGCGCACGCACATCCCCATCCGGCCCCCCTCCCGGCATCAATGGGCCAGGCAGCCCCATCCCTATGGGGCATGGCGAGTGAAGGGGTGTCCCTGTGCTGGGAACCCATCCCCACCCAATGTGATCCCAGGACCTGGCTCAGTGCTTACGTGTCCTTGCGGTGAGGGTGCTGGGGCGGGCGGGCTGCTGCGCGTAGCGGGGCCGCAGCATCACCACGTACTCGGTGTCGGGGCGCAGGTTGCTGAGCGTGGCCGATTGTGCACTGGCCCCCAGGCTCTTCTCCTGCCCCTGGGCTGCTCCTGGTGGGGAGGCTGCGGTGGGCAGGGGCCTGGCACGCTCCATGCCGGCAACCAAGGGGTGTCTGCAGCCTGCCCTGGGGGTGCCAGGCAGTGCCAGGGGTGGGGAGCCTGGGAGAGGCCGGGACCGCAGCCAGGGGCACCCCGAGGGCCGTGGGGCAGGGAGGGGCTGCAGGTGTGCAGCTGCAGTGGGGCCCAGAAGGACGGGGGTGACACCCCCTGCATGCGTGTGCCGGCACCCTCACCTGCGCCGGGCACACGCCACATGGCACCGGCTGTCATGAACACACTAGCACACACCTGAGCCTCGGGGTGTAGGAACACACACACGGCCCCATGCCTCTGCACACACGTGTGCCCTGCAGCACGGGCACCAGCAGCCACAGTGCTCTGGCCGTGCACCCCTGCACCAAACCCCATGCATGCACCCCGCCATGCCTATGCCCGGCCTATGAAGCAGTGCAAAGGCATCCAGGCAGGACAGCTCCCTTGTAGGCACCATTCCTTCCCCTTGCATGTCCCTCACCTCGCACATCTCTCATCTAGCACATCTCTCACCTTGCCCATCCCTCACCTCGCACATCTCTCACCCTGCCCATCTCTCACCTTGCCCATCCCTCACCTCGCACGTCCCCTCACCTCGCACACCATAGCTGAGGCTGTAGCCCTGTGGGGGCTCAGGGCCAGGCTGCCAGGCCAGCCGCAGGAACGTTGGTCCAGTCTCCACCACGCGGAAATCCAGCACGGAGCCAGCCTGACTCTCTGGGGACGACGCAGAGGCAGGGGTGAACCCCAGCCCCGTGTGCCCCTGCCCATGGCCCCAACCCGTGGTCACGGACACTCACGGGTGCGCGCTCGGCCGGACACGGACTCGCCGACGCTGTTGGCGTACTGGGCAGTGACAGTGACCAGGTACTCGGTCCCCTCACGCAGCCCCCGCAGCACGGCGCTGGTCTCCCGTGGCCCCAGGGTCACCTGGGCAGGGACCGTGTCACCCCTTGGTGTCCCCAGGCCATGCATGGGGCCACTGGGGACCCCAGGTGTGTGGGTGAGACCCTCACCTCCTGCCTCTCAGCCACAACCGGCTGCCCCAGCCCGGTCAGCGGCACGTGCTGCACCCGGTAGCTGGTGACGGGGCCGCTGGCCGCGGTCCATCGGATCTGCAGCTGATCAAGGCCCCGCTCCAGGAACTGCAGGTTTGAGGGGCCGGTGTGGCTTGTCCCGTCTGGAGGGGAGCACAGGGGCCATCAGCTCCAGGATGCGTGGGGCAGCAGGGAGAGCTTCCCAGGGTGGCACAGCCATGTGCTCAGTGTCACAGGATGGCCAGGAAGGCATTCTGGGGAGGATGGGTGCTAAAGGTGGACCCAAGGGAGGAGGACAGGAGTCCATACCCAGCGTGCGCAGGGTACCCCCGACGCTCGTGCACACCCTCCGTGTCATCAGTGGCACCAGCGTCCCTAGCAGCTTGAAGTCACCAACATAGAAGAAGAAAGCATCGGTGGGCATCGAGGCAACACGGATCAGCTCCTTGCGGTCAGCATTCTTGACTCCTGGCAAGGATGGAGATGATGGGTGAGGGCAGGAACCCTGAACCCAGCAGCAGACCCTCTTGTCCAGTGCCAAAGCCTCACCAACGGCAAAGACCTTGATGCCCTGGCTCTTCAGCTTCGCTGCGGGCCCCTCAGCATCATCCTGGGACTTGCCATCCGTGATGAGGATGCAGATCTGTGGTGCCAGGGATGAGCCATAAGCCCCAGCCCAGAGCCCACAGACCTGCTGTGTTGCTCCCTGGGTGCTCCCAGGGCCACAGCCATGCCTGTACCTGGGGGACCCCAGGCCGGAGCTGTGTGGGACCAAAGAAGTTGTCAGCCACATAGCGGAAGCCGGCACCGGTGCGTGTGTTGCCGCCCTTGTAGCTGAGCTGCTGGATGGCCCTCCGGACACTGGTGCCGTTGGTGTGCTGGGAGAAGGAGAACTCCACCCTGGGGAGCAGGGGACACGTCAGCTCCCGTCCCCACCGCCTGCTGCTCCCGTGCCCCTTCCCGGGGCTCACCGTGGCTCGTCACTGTACTGCGCCACGGCGATGCGCACGGCCCTCTCGCCCACCGCCGGCATGAAGGGCACCACCAGCTCCTCCATGAACGTGCGGATGGCGCGGAAGTTGTTCCTGCCGATGCTGGACGAGCCGTCCACCAGGAAGGCGATGTCGGCCTCCAGCACGTCCTCACACACCGCTGCGGGATGGCAACAGTGCTCAGGGCACAGGCTGACACCATTGCACGACAGCGCTGGCCCCTCGCCCACTGCGTGCACCCGGTGCTCAGCACCCACCTTGGCTCCTCTTCTGCACTGCGGCAACTGGCGGGCCCAGGAGCACAGGGAGCACAGTGAGGAGCAGGAGCCGGCTGCTCATCGTGGGAGCCTGCGGGAGTGGAAGATGCCACCATTGCCCCATGTCAGCCCCATGCCCTGACACCGGTGACAGCACAGCAGGCCCGGGGAGGCACCAGTACCACACCGTGCCAGGGCACATGGCAGCCTCAGGAGGACAAGGTGCCACTGCTGGCGCCTCACGTACCAGGGAGAGCCCCGGCTATGGGCCAGGGCAGCGGGACCATGCCTGGCCATGTGTGTCACATCCCCAGCATCCCCATGCTGGAGGGACAGCTGGCAGCGCCCAGTGCCACCCAACAGGCCGGGAGCTGCCAGTGCCCGGCGGGCAGCCGCTGCCTGTCCCTGCTCGGGAGGGAGCCCCGACGGCAGCGTGCGGGGGGCCCCGACTCCACTCTGCCCGGTGCCTCGGGGAGTCGTGCCCAGGGTGTGCGCGGGCTCTGCCTCCACAAGCCCTTCCCGCTCCCTGCCTGCTCCCTGCCTCCTGCCTGTTCCCTGCCTGCTCCCAGCTCCCTGCCTGCTCTCCCCGGCCCCGGCAGCAGCTCCCCGCAGCCCCCAGCCCTGCTACGGAGACCCCCGGTGCGGGCGGCGAGCTCGGGTTTCTCCATAGCAGCCAGGGTGGGCGAGAGCCGCCCGTCCCCGCGCACACGGCTGCGGGCGGGGGAGCACCCGGCCTGACACCACTGCGATGGCCACGCCGGGTCTCAGCCCAGCACAGCGCGGCCCGGTTGCACCGGGGAGGAGCGCGCCCCGCGCGGGAGGGCGGACAAGAGCCCGCGGGGGGGGGGGGGGTCGGTCCGGTCCGGTCCTGCCCCGCAGCACCCCCCTGCCCCGCCTGCGGCGGGACCCCCACGGCCGCACGCACTCACCCACCGCGGGGCTGCACCGCTCCGAGCCGCTCCGTGCCGTACCGAGCAGAGCCGGGCGCAGGCGGTCCCGCCGCGTACCGGCCCCCGGTGCTCCCGCCCCTTTATCGAGGGCGGCCCGGAGCGCGGTGCCGGGGGGGGGGGGAAGCGGGAGCGTCGCGGCCCCCGCCCAGCCCAGCCCGGCCCCCCAAAGAGGGCTTTCCCCACCCCACCGAGCTGATCCCCCCCAAAGTGCCGGCCCTGCTGCAGCCCGGGCAGGGGCTGGGGGCTGCGAGGGGTGGGTGAAGCGGGGGGGGGGGTTCGTACCCCTGAGGGGTTTCTGCTGGGCTCGGTGCTGTGCTGGGGCTCAAGGCAGTTTTTGCTCCTGTATCTCCATTCTCCATGTCCCAGGAACTCTGGGATCTGCCAGCCAGGAGCCAGCCGTGCACCTCACCTCTGTCTATCTCAGGGCAATGTAATGTGCACTGCCTGACCCTGGGCAGAGTGGGATGGAGCTGCTGTGGGGATCCAAGCCCCTGGCAAGCTCCAGGTCAAGGTATGGCTCCAAGCACCAGCCCTGGGAAGGCCAGTGGTGGTGGAGATGGGCTGCTCCGCACACGGGCACAGCTCCCATGAGGCTGCAGGCTGGCAGGGCCTCGGCCAGGACCTCTCCTGCACCCACAGCTCGTGGGACCCCAGCACCCATGTCAAGTACAGGGAGTGCCCTCGAGCCAGCAGGAGCATCCTCCTGCCCTGCTCCGGATGTCACCTCCCAGGAACCACCAGCTCAGACCAATGGCCAAAGCCCACCCCAGAGCCAGTGAACACGCTGGGAAGCCCCCGGTGGTGTGACTGCACTGGGCAGGAGGATGCCCAGCGAGGCGGCCAGGGACCTGTGCTGCCCTGGCCTCCCTCTGCCCACCCAGCGACTGGAGGGACTGTCCCCTAGGGCTCCTCCTCTGCCCAGGGTGCACCCCTGACCCTCAAGGTGCCCCTCACCTCCAGGACACCCCATGGGATCACAACTCTCCTTGGGGTGAATCACCTGCACCCCATCCTACTGATGTTGCCTGTGCTTCCCCGGGGCCCCAGCATGTGCCCCATGTGCCACCTCCCCCTGTTTCCTCGGTCACCCACATCCCCAGCACCCCGCGTACCTCCGCCCTCCTGGCTCCCCTCGGCTCCCTGCGGGGCAACGGGCAGCTCCGGGGGCATCTTCCTGCGGGAGGGAGGGGAGCGGCAGTGGGGTCCCCGGGGCCACTGCAGGGATGGGGACCCGGGGCAGGGCCACCTGCCACCGAGCAAAGATGCTCCAGGGCCGGCTGCAGGCAACTTTCCCAGGCACACACAGTTCCCAGGCAGGGGAGGGGCGGCGATGCCACCGCTCTTCTTAAAGGCGCAGCAGGCAGCGCATCCCCTCCTCTTCATTAGCCTTTCTCTCATTAGGCCCCTGCCCGGCCCCCAAACCTGGCCGGTGGCTCCAAAGTTCACCGTGGCCACGGCTTTCCCCCTCCTTCCCCAGCTCCAGGGATCCGGCATCCCCAGGCCAGGACCATCCCCAAGCCGCTCGCTTAGAGAAGGCAGGATGTCCCAGTTAGACAAGGGGCTGCGTTACAGGGGGGAGTGAGGGGCCTGCCAAGGCGCTGTGCTGGCCCCGGGCCCGGAGCTGGCGGAGCAGCCCCACGGCGTGGTGCCTGCGGCAGGGCAGGGGCAGACGGGGGTCACTGGGCTGTGATGGGGCAGTGCTGAGGCCGGCATCACCGCGGGCATGGGGGCACCAAGCAGTGATGCTCTGCAGCCGTGCCACGGGCTCTGCCTGCCCGTGGTTCATCACGGGAGCATCCTGACCATCGTGCCAGCAGGATCCCGCTTGCACTGGCACTGGAGAGGGGCACGCAGGGTGCTGGGTCCCCAACACCAAGGTGCCTCCCCCATGCGGTGTTTCCCGGCTCTCTGCGCATACCAGGGCCGGGAAGGAATCCGTGGCCGCCGGCACACGGACAGAGCCTCAGAAGCAGGAGAGCTCCAGGTGTGAGTGATTCACTGGGTGCTGCTGCAGCCGATCCCTCCAGGAACATCCCAGGAAGCCATCGGCCCTTTCCCGAGCCCCGCCGTCTGAGAACTGGCACGGAGGAAGCCTGGGGCTGAGCCCCTCCCTGCCCTGCGTTGCCAGGTGAGCAGCCGCGGTAGGAAACAAGAGGAAAACCTATTTTCTGCGCCCTCAGGTGAGGTTTCAGCTGTGTTGGGTGGCAGGGAAGGTGAGTCACGGTGAGACGCGACGCTGCAAGAAGCGAGCTGCAGCCGCGGTGCCGTGGGTCCCATCCGATGCCCCACATCCCTCAGCAGCTGCCCGCGGCGCTGGGCACGGGCCGGGATTCGGCGCAGCGCGCACAGGGTTTTGGTGTGCCAGCCCCTCGCTGTCCGGCAGCGCTCCCTGCCCCGGCACAGCCTGGGCATCCCCGGCCCGCGGGATGCGCGGGGCAGCTCCAGGGCTGCTGGAGGGGACCTGCCCCTTCCCCGGGCCCTTCCACATCGGGGGCTCCGGGCGCAACGGGGCTGGCGCCGCGGAGGGCGAGGGGAGGAGGAGCGGCCGTAGTCAAGAGGAGCCTCGCCTGCCGCGGGGCCGGTTGGGACACGCTCCAGGAATGTCTCCCAGCACCAGGCACCGCCAGCTCCCACCCACAGCACCCCGGGATCCCACCGCCATCACCGGCTGGCTCCGGGAGAGCACTGGGGGGTCAGCATCGTGCTCATGGTGTGGCCTCAGGGACTTGTGTGCCACCCCACGGGACTCCCCAGCAAGCCCGGGAGCCACAAAATGGGCCAGGGAAGGGAACTGGTCACCCCTTATCACCTGCTGACCTGCCCCGAGGGCTTGGGGTGGGAGACGGCCATGCCAGTCCCCCCGGAGGCTCCTCAGCACCAGAAGGGACTTCCTGCAGCACCCCCCCTCCTGCTGCAGCCCAAGCCACATCACTGCAGAAGGAAGCAAAGCGTCACATCAAGGGGAAGCCATGCCTGGTGAGCTGCCCTCTGCTCCGCGGCGCTGGGGATGCTTCTGTCTGCAGGGACCGCAGAGGATCTGGTGGGTGATGATGGGGACAAGTGGTCCCTCATCCCTCAGGGCTCCCCCCAAGCCGCTGCAGAGGGATGAGAAGCTTTTCCTGACCATTAACTGTTGTGTCTGGAGGCTGCCGCCAGCATGGCCACACACCAGCATCCCACAAAGCTGTGCTGGACTGCGGCCAGGCCCTGCTGTCCATGTGGACAGGACTCCAGAGGGAATGGTGACACCCCTTGGCTGCAGGAGAAGGCAGCTCTGGTCAGCCTGACACAGGGACTGGGTTGGTTCCCAGGGACAGCGAGGGAGAGGGAAGCCAGGCACTGACCAGGGGTGGTGGCACTTTGCAACAGCACAGAGCCACAAAGGGGTGGTGATGGTGAAGACAATGGCAGCAGCATGAGGAGGCAGCAGCGCTGTGTAGGGCTCCAGAGCCCCCAGTTAACCAGCCATTTCCATTGGCTTTGGGCTATGCTTGGGTGCCCAGAGAGGCTGCAAAGTGGCTGGGGCTGGGTACCAGGGACCTGGAGCAGGCAGGATGCAGGCAGGGACTGAGGTGATGCACTCCATCTGCACTGACCACCCAGGTTCTTCATTCTCCAGTGATGGAGGCACGAGCTGCTTGCCTTTGCTCTCACACACAGGAGGGACCAGGCTCTGTAAAGTAAGCCCAGCTTCTCCCCGAGGATGGGGATGTAGGAAAGGGTGGGAATGCAGGGACCAGACACACCAAAGCTCCCAGGGGATGGGAGGGAAGGCAGGAGTCCAGCACTGCTCCTGGGGACCTCAGGGGAATGCTCACCAGCACCGTGCGCAGGATGGTGCCACCGCTTCCTGCTGCACACCAGGTTGAGCAGGGAGATGCCAAGGATCGGGATATACCCAGCACATGGAGCCCGACCCGCAGGGCTGGGGCACTTGCCACCAGCACGGCAGCTCTTGTCACACATCGGGACAAGCTGCCCAGCAGCTCCCAAACCTCGCAGCACCTCTGAAGCCCATTGCTGCCCATCCCTCCTGCCTCAGCCCCAGGGCAGGGGGAGATGGGCAAGATATAGGAGCTGCCTGACACTGAGCTACTTCCCCTCCCAGGGCTGGGAAGCGGCACTCAGGCAGGCCAGCTGCCCCACAGACATTATGGGCACTGGCAGCAGGAGGAAGGGCAGGCAGCGTCTGGGCCTGGGAAGCTGCAGCCATTCCTGGGATGCCACCAGCTGTGCCACAAGAAGCTGCTCCTCACTGGGGGTTCATGCAGCTCTTTGGGGATGGGATTATTTGTTCTTCCCTCCAACTGCCTCCCAGGCTGTTGCAGTGGCTCAGGGCAGCTGTATTCCCAGGGGAGGAGCGTTGCCAGGAGGAATCAAGGAGCCATCCCTCAGGGGCCCCTATCCCAACCGCAAAGGACAGAGTGAGGACATGCTGAAGCACTGCTCTGGGATGCTGCTGCTGCTGCACTGGGGCTCGCTATGGACGGTCATTGCCTTCCCAAGAGATGGGAACAAGGAGTCACTGGTGGCGAGTGCACCAGCGCTCCTGCTGTGAGCCATGGGTGCTGCCAGCCCCAGCACAGCAGTCACTGGTGGCAGGGACCCGCTCCGAGGTGCTCGGGAGGAATCTGCCCACCCCAGCTCCCCAGACCCAGGCCCGGGAACAGCCGCCCCCTGCCCGCTGCCCTTTCCCGGGATGCCGCAGTGTGGAAGCAGGAGCAGCATCGGGACGCGGCTCTGGCAGCGGGAGGCCGGGGGTTGCTCAACGCTTCCTCCCGCCCCTGCTCCGTGTTTCACAACCCGCACCCACACGCCCTAAACCCGGGGCTCGCTGTGAACCCCCAGGGGAGGGGGGGCTCAGGGCACAGCCCCCTTCCCGCTCCGTGGGCTCGGCTGCTCCTTGCGCAAGGGGAGCGACACCCGCGCCCCCGGGCTGGCGGGAGCCGTGCGGGGCGGCACCGCGGGAGGGGACGGGGACCCGGCACGGCCGGCGCCAGGCAGGGGCACGGCGAGGGGTGCGCGCCACGGGAGAGCATCGGCTGCGCTGCATCCGCCGGGAAGGGGCTTGTGTAAGTCCTGGGGCTGGTAGAGAAGTGCGGGACATAGAACCATGGAAGCGTTTACGGTGGAAAAGACCTTTAAGATCATCGAGGTCAACCGTTCCCCAGCGCTACCAATTCCAGCACTAAACCATGCCCCCGAGCGCTACAAGTCCTTTCAATCCCTCCAGGGGTGATGACTCCACCGCAGCCCTGTTCCTGCGCTTGTCAGCCCTTTCCGTCAAGTGCTGTTCCTAATATCCAATCTGGAAGAGCTGGCACCAGCTGCTCTGCCCGCAGGACACCGTTGTGCCTTCCCATACACCAGCCACCAGCGCCGGGGCCCCAGCAGCCGCAGGTTCTACACACCGCGGGAAGGATGAGGATCTGCTGGGGCGGTGAGGAGCTGGGGGCTGCAGGAGCACCTCTCGCTGTGGTGGGTGCCGGGGACCGCGCTCCGGAGGGATCGGTGCTGTTCACAGGACCGGGCTCATCCCCAGGGCTCCTCTGGAGAGGCAGAGCCGCTGCTCCCGGCTTCCCTGGCAGGGAGCCCAGCTCCAGAGAGCAGCACAAAGAGAAGGCAGCGCCCGCCCGGCCCGGGAGGCTCAGTCTGTCACCATGGGAACCCCCGATGACTTCATACCCCCACGGAGCTGCGCGGCCGCGTCACCGGCGTGGCACGGGCGGGTGGGCACAGGCACCGCACGCACGGGATGTGGGGCAGATGCTGCGGGGGGGGGGCTGAGCAGCCCGGTGAGGATGCTGCAGGGGACGGTTGCAGTTTGCACCCACAAACAAGGGCTGGGGCTCAGAGCTCCAGCTCCTTGCAGAGAGCATGTCCCCAGCTCCACTTCACCCTCCTTGCTGGCATGGGGAGGAAGGAGTAAAGGATCCTGTCTCTGGACCCCTGCCACCTCCAGGAGTCACCAGCCCCGCACCATGGGTGATACACAGGTAGACTCCACAACTCCTTAAAGTTGTAAAGTAGGTATGCTTTTATTCAGCACTGAGGCGCATGGGGGATCGCTCCTCCAAAGGCATGCCCACCTCAGCATTGTTCTCCTTCCTATTTATCCTCTAAACTATTACATATTCATGAGGTTACACAACACGCCGATACATATTCATGACCTATCCCTGCTTCATATTATAATGAGATAAAAGGTCCTTGCTTGCATAGGGTCTCCTGGTGGTCATGGGCAGTGAGGTAAGATGAAGTAAACGAGTCTTTCCTGAACTTTCCATCTCCAGTCGCTGTGCATGTTCCCTGGTGATTTAGTCACTGTCCAAACCGCAAAGCTGATTTCAGCCAGTTTAGGGGTCCAGAGAACAGGAGTTACTG